TGGTTTTCCCTCTCCTTCAGCCTCTGGACCACAGGCTTAGGGAAGCTCCCAGCCCTGCTGCTGGGATGAGCCACCATTGCCTTCTTCATCCCTTGAGCCCTGCTCCAGGACTGGCAACAGCCAACCCCTGCCAGAACGATGTCCCAGCAAGGCAAACCCTGATAGAAACGCTCTCCACAAAGGGACTGTGCTTCTTCCATGGCCCAGCCATTAATCGCTATTTTTACCTGCTTCCACACGCACAGATGGGCCAGAAACAATCCAAGCTCAGCACCCGTTATGCTTTGCCCAAAAGATTTGCTCCCTGCTTTTGCTGAGCTGCCAAAAGAGTTGCAAAAGAGCAGGTAGAAGTGGGTAAGTGACGGCCAGGCGGCTGCCGGAGCGGAGCGTGCTGCCAGCAGCGCTGGGGATGACAATAGAGAGATGGAGAAGAGTTATTCATGTTTCCCCGAGAGCCCAGATCACTTGAAACATCCTTTTCCTTGGGGATGGCGAGGAAAGAGCTCCCTTCAAATACATCATCCCGTGAGACTCATTAAAGGCTCATCAATTACAGAGAGAGCAAACAATTCAGGGGAAAGCTCGGAGAAGCCTTCCTCCGGCCGGCAGTCCCGAGCTGCCTCCAGCACCAGCAGAAGGGAGCAGGGGGGCAAAGCCCAGCCCAGGGTGGGAAAAGCAGAGGAGTGATGGCTGGAACCCAGCAGGATGGGACCAGCAGCCTCCAGAGCATCCCTGCGGCCGTGCAGAACATCCTCATGGAGAGGGGCGTGCAGGGGACGTGGTGGCCTTCTGCTGCTCCATGCCCGGGGTTTTTTAAGGAGCTCAGGACACTCAGTGTTGTCTCATGGGAGCTGGGCAGGAGGCACAAGGAGATGGAGCAGCTCTCTAAGTCCCCACCCAGCAGTTCCTCCAGCAGTGTCACTGCACCAGGCCCGAGGGGGTGCAGCACCCCAAGGCTGCCCCATCCCTGCAGGAAGGGAGAGGGATGAGGAGATGATCTTTGCCTTTCTCTGCCTCAATTCCCTGCTCTGCAAGTGGGGTTGAGGACAGAAAAAGTGCTGTAAAACAGGTAAGAATCCTTGGAAGGGAAACAAAGGGCTGGGATGGCTTTTTAAAATTACTTCAAAAGTCATTATTAATGAAAGCTCAGGGAAAGAGGCTGTTTTCCCACTCCCAGCACAGAGGGAGGTTTGCTGCAGGTTTGCTGCACTCACCCCCTTCCTGTGTGTGGGCATCTCCTTCACTCACATGTGGGCTTGGCACCAGACACCTCTCCAGCAGCTCGCTGCTGTGACCTCCAGGATGCTGACATGGAGAATTGCAGAAAAGTGTTCTTTATGGCTTAAAAAAAAAAAAAAATAAAAAAAAGAAGAAAGGAAAAAGAAAGGACACTTTCCTGTAAACTTTCCTTGGCGCTCCAAGGTCCGTGATGTTCCCTGGTGGAGGCATTGGCAGCATCAGAACCACACTGCACCACTCTGAGGAAAGCTGGATGACCTGCACTAAAATAAACTCATAAATACCCCTTTGTGCAAGCTGGAACATCTTGGGGCACACATTGCTCTGACCGCTCCCGCTGGGAACAGTGTGAGCCACTTTTTGGTGATTGCCAAGCGCAGCGGTGTGACCTCCTGCCAGCCTGGTGCAGGGTGGGTGTCCCTGGTGCCCAAGGGTGCTGCAGGTCCTGCTGGTGCTGCTCCCCACCACTGCTGACCCTACACAGGCTCAGTGAGAAGCAGCACTGTCAGCACAGCCCTGACCCACGAGCCAGAGAGCAGAAACACTCCCAGATCTCCTCTGGAGCCAGAGAGACCATATTGCAACCAGCACTTTGCTGGAGCAGCCCCGGGGCTGGAGCAGGGCCACAGCTCCCTTCTGCAGGACACAGAGCAGGTGTCTGCCCCGCTGCTGATTTTTAAGCCTCATTGCTAAGTAGCTCCTAACCTTTCCCTTCATCCTCTCCTTCCTGCCATGGCTGGGCGCCGAGGAGGATGAGCAGAGCGAGCAGGAGGAGCAGCTCCCACCCAGGGGACTGGGCTAATGCCATTTACTCCAGTCTGCACCAGCTGAGTCTTGGCTGGGGAAAGGCAGGCACAGACCATCAGCATGTCCTTGGGCTGTGGGCCCAGAGGAGGAGGCACAGGAGCCTGAGGAAAGGGTTGAAGCTGATCCACTAAGCCTGAGCTGCAGGAAGGCCAGTTTGCAGAAACCTCTGCCCAAAATGGGGCTGGCTGAGGGTGCTCAGCTGTTCACCATTAAATAATGCAGCCTGATTGATTGGGCTGAAAAGTGCTGTGCTGCGGGGTCAGCCTGCTGGGGTCACAGTTCCCTGCTTAGATTAATGATCCTCAAAGGTCAAATTCAGAAAGCAATTCCCTGGTAAAATTGATCCTTCGGATAACAAAACTTTTGCACAGTGGCAAAGGGCCTAGCAGTGAGAAAAATCAGTGACCCAAGCACAGGCAGGCAAGGTGAACACCTGCCTCTGCTTCCTCTTGACTTAATTTTCCTTGTTTGCACCAATTAGGAAGTGAGGGTCTCTCCTGGGGACAGCAGTGCTCTATCACACCTGGCTGGGGGACATCCCTCCCTGTCCCCATCCCGCTGGGCAGGAGGCAGCTGGGCTGTCCCAGGAGCTGGTGCTGGGCTCCCAGTCCTCCCAGCAGCCATGAGCAGCGTGTGAGGAGGATCTGCCTCCTGCACACACCCGTGCCTCAGCAAGGCCAGGTCCCTCTGCAGGGAGGAGGATTTGTAGCTGGAGCCACAGATGGCGACCAGGCCTCACCCTCCTGCACTGGGAGCCAGAAGCACCCCAAAATGTCTGCTTGGCTCCTGCCAGGAGCAAGGATGTGCCACACGTGGAGGGGGTTGGTCGAGGCTGCCTCAGGCCACCTCGGGGGTCACCAGGTGGTGGCCACCCAGGGCTGATGTCCCCACTGTGACCGGTCCCTGACTCACAGGGTCGAACACTGGAGCCAAGCACCACTCTCCACCTCACCCCAAACTTCAGGGAAAACAAGGGGTGTGACAGTCCCTTCCATCCTTGCACCCACTCCGCTGGGGCTCCTAAACCCCCTAGGCTGGGTGCTGAGGCTGTGCCCTGGGGCTGCCCCGTCCCCTCGCCCCCATCAGAGCAGGAGAGAGGAGAGCTGCAGCTCCCCGAGCTGTTCCTCTGCTCAGGCAGGGCCCAGAGCAGCAGTGCTGAGGCTTTGACCTGCTTTAACCCGCTTTAACCCACTCTCTTTGCCTGCTTTGCTCTGTCTGCTCATTTTAAAGCGAGAGAAGGAGGCCACGCTGTGTGGACGCTGAATAATTCAGAGCCAGGCTGGGCAGCGCCTCTGCCACAGGGCTGGGACAGCTGAGAAACCCTTCCTCCCCAGAGGCAAAGGGGACCTGCAGAGCTGAAATTCAGCATCCCCCTGGCTGTAGGCACCAGCCCAATCCACCTCTTTCCCCTGGATGTGGGGCTGGTGGCTGGCTCCCAAGGCAGCAGTGCTCGGAGGCTGTCAGTGCTCTCAGCCGTGACGCGCCGTCTCCAGCCCTCGCTCACAAAGTGCAGCGTGCTGACTCTGCCTCTGCTCCCTGGGCAGAGTTTTCCTCTTTCCTCGCTTTTAGAGACTGCAAAATTCCCTCCTCTGCTTGGTCAGACGCAGGGCGGGGTTGTAAGACAGGGAGAGATTGCTCATCCAGCTTATGCTGAGCCTCTGAGCGGGGTTTGCTAGAATTAAGGACAGGGAGGGGAGGGAGAGGGAAAAAAGAAATCATACATGAGGTCAGCTTACCCAGCCATGCGTGAGGAGAGCACGGCAAAGGCGGCCTCAGCTCAGGCAGGTGCCTGGGGAGCTTCTCTGGGGGCTCCAAGGGAGAGGGGAGAGGCACCAGGAGCAGGGGGCAGGAGCAGCACCAGCACCCCACTCCCAGCTGCCAGCCTAATCCAGGCTGCTTATCCCAGAGCACAAGGAACACAGGCCATGCTTCCTCTGTTTCATTCCCTCGGCTCTGCATCTCCTGAGCCCTGTAAAAGGAAGCTCTGCCCCATCAGAAGTCCCCACCCCTGCACAGAAGGCACAGCATTACTGTTTTCTAATGCTTCTGCTTCTGAGACTGTAAATTATTGCACAAAGCAGGGAAAGCCGTCAGGCTCTGCTAGGAATCGGCTGTCTGGAATGAAATGAGATGTTTTGGTCCCCAAAGTCTCTCTCTGATGGCCTCAGCTCGGGCCCAGGAGTCACCAGAGCCACGTGTGAGTTATGGGCTCAGGCTCTGCGTTCTGCACAAGTCACCTCCGGAGTCTGAGCACAGGAATTATTGTGCACAGAGATAATTATTCCCTGCATACTGCACTACAGCTCATTAAAAGTTTCTTAATGTTTGCAAATTGCTGAATAGCGTTTTTAGTTGTTGCCTTCTCTGATGAGGCGGGGACTAGCTGGTGGATTCTGATGGTGGCTTGTTGTCTGTGTTATTTTGGTCACAGCAGCCTGGGGCTTGCTGCATGTGGGGAAGAGGGTTTGTGCTGGGCAGCCTCACTCCTTTCTCCAGGAGAAAATGCTGTTGGCTTTGGCACAGTGCACAGGGGGCAAGGGCTGAGTGCCACCAGGGTTAACCCAGCTCCTCCATCCAAAGCCAGAGGCTGCCTCCAAGTCGAAGCCTCCATCCGAGGTGATTACCCAGATTCCTGGAGCAGCCTGACGTGTGGGTGATTCCTTCCTGGTGTCTCAGCTGCAGATGTTGACTTGCCATTAAACTCCTCAGTCAGACAGTGGGAGTGAAGTGTCTCATCTTGGACGAGAGGCTGCAAATCTGCCCTGGGTGAGGAGATGGACATTGAACCCCAGCACCAGATACCTGGGGAAAACTGCTGAGTCCAGTGAGAAAAACCTGCAGGAGGAGCAGGGAAGGAGTGACCAGCCTGGCCTCAGCACGTTTTCAGCACTACACTGGAGGCAAGGAGGAGCAGCAGTAACACCTGACAGCTCTTCCCTGTCTTCTTCCTGCAGGTGTAAATGCAACCTCCATGCCAACCTGTGCACCTTCAAAGAGGGCAGCCTCCAGTGTGAGTGTGAGCACAACACCACGGGCCAGGACTGTGGCAAGTGCAAGAAGAACTTTCGCTCCAGGTCCTGGCGAGCTGGGTCCTACCTGCCTCTGCCCAACGGGTCCCCCAATGCTTGTAAGTACTGCAGGGAGCCAGCCCTGCCCTGGGCTGCACCACACCCACAGATGGGAGCCAGCGCTCATCCTGTCCTTGAATCAGTGCAGGATGCTCAGCTTCCCAAAGGGAAATGGGCTCTTACCCTGTCTTGGTACTCAGAGAAATGAAAGAGGATCTGGTGGATGCGGAGGTGATGTGCTGGCTGCTGGCAGAGCACATCTTGACCATCTAAATGATGGTCAGCAGGGATGATGAACTTAGGCCAAGACATAACCACGGCTTCGTGGCAATGACAGTTACTGTCCTTTGACAAAGTGTCATTCAGCACGGCAGAGCTCTGGCTGCCCAGCAGCCCACGGGCTCTGGGCTGGCTCTGCTCAGCTGCAGATGTGCTGGCTGCTCTCTGGATCCTGTCTGTGCTTGCTGATGTCCCTGTGTGCAGCCCTGGCCTCCTCCACCTGCTGCTGGAACACGACTCTGATGGCAGCAGTGCACAAACGAGACGCAGGATGGATTCCCACCATGCTCCAAGCAGGGAACTGGGGCAGGAGAACCACAGATGGGCAGGTTCCTCCTGGGCTCCTGTCCACTCCACATCAGCAAACTTGCTTAAATGTCACGAAGCCACGGTAGCCACTCAAGCCTTTCAAGCAGCAGCTTTGAGCATTACCAAAGAGAATCTTTTCTCTCCCTCCCCCCAAATTTTTTGAAAGATTTATGTGCTTTAAGATGATCAAAGCTGAAATTCAGGCTCCGAAGGCCGTGACGGGAATGTTTTGTGTGTGCCAGGGCTGGTAGACGAGCAGGTTCTTTGAAAGGGAACGAGCTTGTCAGCTCCCACCAAGCGGCTGCATTGCTTCAAAGGAGCCTGGGAGAGTTTCTGGTGTTGACAGGCACAGACATGCTGTTCTCTCTCTTTCCCTCCCCTCCATTCCTTGTGTCTTTTCCTATTTCTCTTTTTCCTCTGCTCTTCCTTCTCTCATTTATCTCTCTTCCCATCTGTCATTCAGTCTTCTTCCTCCTCCCCACCCCAACTCTCTCTGCTCCTTCCTCCTCCCCACATCAACATCCTCTGCCCCAGAGGCAGCTCTCTGAAGCCCTCTGCTCTCGGTAGTCCTGCCTCTTCCATCACTGAGCTTTAAATTCACACAGAGCTGAGACTTTCCATGATTCACCCCCACAGCAGGGAGGCCCATGGACGTGTTTAAAAAAAGACTGGACGTGGCACTCAGTGCCATGGTGTAGCTGATGAGGAGGTGTTAGCTCATAGGTTGGACTAGATTATCTTAAAGGTCTTTTGCAGCCTAGCTCATTCTGTGATTGTTCAGACCCCACAGCTCGTCCTTAACCCAGTGCTCCTGTGTGCTTGTCCTTTGCTGGGCTGTCACAGCAGCCCAAGGAAGTGGTTAACAGAAAAACCCAGCAGCCAGGACCACGCTGGTTTTCCTTCCCCAGGTGAAAGGCTTGAGATGCCAGGAGCCCAGACAGGGTTGTCTGGCTGTTTCTGTGCTTTGACAAAAGCAGCTTTTATGCTGTAGCAGCAAACTGATGTGCCTGTGAGCAAGCCCCTGCTAATTAGCTGCTGTTCAGTCCCATGTTGTGTGTCTGTGTGATCTTCTGATGGTGTCCTGCTTCCAGTGACTGGGCTTCCTCTTGTTTTTTCCAGGTGCAGCTGCAGGCTCAGCCTTTGGCAGTAAGTAAAACCCTGACTGAAATGCTGGCATTTAACACCTCGGTGCATGATCCTTGTGGATGTCACTAGGAAAAAAAAAATATGGTTATTTTCTATCCATTATCATTTTCCAAGCAATAAGTCTTCCCTAATTGTGCCTCATTTTCTGTCCTGTCAAAGAGTCTTATATTTTCTTCCTCTGACTTCAGCAGCCTCATTTTGCCTCTTCCTCTGGCATGGTTTCCCCCCATGAGGTTCGTTAGTACGGCAGCCGGAAAGGAAATAAAAAAAGACTCTTCAAAATCACCAGTGCTCGCTGTGAACTCCCCCCCTTAGCCCCCCAGTGCTGCAAAAGGAGCTGGGTGTGAATTATTTGGTGTAGAACCCAGCCTGGGTCACCTTGGGCTATCAATAAAAAAGCATATGGAGTGTGTGTACATCTGTATGTACACGTGTATGCATATGAACAAATGTCTGTGAGGTGTCAGCAGCAAAGGCAGAGCTCAGCAGGGATTTCTGCTGCAAGATTGATGGCAGGAGAGGGCTCCTTACTTAACAAAGCTGGAGGTAGTTTGATATCAAAGAGCCTGGAGTTTTGGGTAAGCAGAAGCCTGGGTTTGAATGTTGTGAGTGCCCCTCCAGAAGAAACAAATCAGGGAGCTGAATTAATAATGAGTTCTTTGCTTTGCAGACAAGTGGGAAGAGTTGGAGGAGGAATCATTTCAGGGAAATGCAAATGCAATTAAGAAAAATGCACCTAATAGAAAAGTGGAGGACAGGTTTTCTGGGTAAATGAACCATATTTAGATTTTTAGCAGTTAATTGCTTGAAATTGTCAAATAAAAATTAAAGGTCTCCCTTAAGTAATTTAGGATTAAAAAAAAAAGTTTCAACAGTTCAAAATGTTCTTCACCTTTGTCTTCAAAGCCATTTTGATAACTTTTTTCCCTCCCATTTACAAAGCTTGGCATCCTCAGCACTACTTTTGTTTCCCTGGAAGATGGGAGGTTACTGGGAGTGATGTGCAGGAGGAGGACAGGAGGGATTTATGTCCAAGGCCAGTTAAGGAGAGATTATTTAACCCACATAGGAGACTAGAAGTGACCTAAATTAAGTATTTAAACTAGCTCAGGGCTATTATGAAATTAAGCACGATAATCTGTGTGAAGCAGCGGGACAAACAAGGACAGGAGGGCAGCAGGTGTGAGTTAAGCAGGAATTTGTGTCCCAGTGTTATTTTAGTGGGGTTTTTGTGGGGAGCAGTGGGGCGGGATCGCTCCTGCCCAGCTCCACAGGGGCTCTGCTGACCATCCCAAAATTTGAAGGGTGCCACTGAAAACAAGGATGCCAATGGTTCTGGTTGGCTTTGATGGTGCCAGGTAATTTGGGGAGGGGTGGCAGCAGGGAATGGAGCACAGCTGGGCACGTGGGCACCGGGCAGTGGGAGCACAGCTTGGCCTGGGCGCTCCTTGGCACCTCCTGCCTGCTCTTCACCCCATCCCTGCCCGGACGTGCCTTCATCTCCCCTTTCCAGCCTAATTGGCAATTAGTTTATGATCGAGCTGTAAGTATTTAAGCCAATATCTGCAGCAGCAGAGTAAGCTGATGCAGCCCCAGCTGCAGCCCCTGCTCTCTCACACACACACACGCCCTCGCTGCGGGCAGCTCACGGAGCCATCGCCTTAATCCTGCCAGTGCCCCAGTTGTGACCGTGCTGAGAAACCAGCCACCAGTTCAGCCCAGCAGAGGCAGCCTCACGGGTGTGCAGGCTGGCATGGAAACCCCCCCATCCCCCCAGTAAATGCCTCCCAACTCTTCTCTTTGCTTGTCAGCCTACGAGCGACCGCCGCGAGTAAACGCCGCAAAAACCACCACTGCAAAAACCACCACTGCAAAAACCACCGCTGCAAAAACCACCGCTGCAAAAACCACCACCATCACCTCAACCACCACCTCAACCCCCACAACCACCAGCAGCACGCCCCTAGCAGCCAGCACCACCCAGCCAGGTGGGTGCCACGCTCAGGAGCCAGGACTCCATGCCCAGGCTCCTCTTTCAGCTGCTGTGTCGGTAGCCGTGGATCTCTGCTCTGTAGGATGATAAAAGGACATGGATAAAAATCACCCTGACTTGGCTCACTTTCAGCTCACCAGGCAGCCCTGGTTTGCAGCTGTGCCAGAGACAAGCAGGGCAGGAAGGCAATGAAGAGTTTTTTGATCCATAATAAATTTAAACCGCATATTTCTCTGTAAAGAGAGGGGAATTCTACCCCATCCTGCTCTATCTCTGACCTCCTGCCACTTGCCACCAGACTTGGAGCAGCTCACAGGTTTTGCTGTGTCCTTGCTGTTGTCCCAGTCCTGAACCAAATCCCTGTGGCCAAACTCATGGAGGTACTGCAGGCGCAGTTTTCCTGTTGCAGAATTTCAGCATTTCCCATGTGGCTGCTGTCCAAGCAGCACGGGAGTGTGCAGGGCTGGAGCTCACACACGTGCCAGAAACATCCATTCCTAATTTCTGAAATCACCCAGAGGAGGAAAACTTTTGTCCTTTTTCTGGGGGTTCCTCCTTCCCTCCCCCTGTGAACAAGGAGACAGCGTTTCTCCCTGTCTTTTGGAAATGAGCAGATAAAACTTAACAGCAGGACATTTTTTTAAGCTGTTCATGGGGGAATTAGACACGCATTCCTCCCTTTGCCATGCTTTCAGGGCCTGATATTTCCCAGGAGGACGTTTTACACCCACAGCATGTTAGTAACAGTCTGTCTGGGGGAGCTGCCAGAAGCCAGTCAAAGGGATGAGGAAGCTTGATTGCATGTTTATGCAAATATAGATATATTCATAGAAGTACCCTGCTTGAGGAGTTAATCAGGGAACCGAGGGTTTAGGTCCAGCTTCCACAGAGTTGGAGTGACCCTGGAGAAAGATTGCAAGGCTCAGCTCTGTTAGGAAGAGCTCCTTACCCAGATCCATGCTGCACCTGTACAGGAGGAGCTCCAGCACGGAGCTCACCCCATCCCCACGGCCCCAGCAGGGCCAGGTGACCTCATCTGCACCCACACAATGCACTTGGGCTGATGTGATTTTTATCCATGCTCACCTATAGTGACATTTTAGGGCTGTTTTTTTGCTCTGTTCTGTGGGTAGCTGCTTGGTGTGTCTCTTGTATGGTTTGCAGTGCTCTGCCTTTGTGGCACCTCTGGCTCAGGCAAGGACAGTGTCTCTGGGGAGTTGGGGTGCTGGGGGTAACCTCTCCTGCCAGGCTTCTCTGAGGGACCTGAGAGACATCACAGGGTTTATTCCTTCTCCAAAACCTGCTTCCTGGGCAGAGAAAATGTTTTCTCAATGCTTTCATTAACTGATGGTAAGGGACAAAATGAATAAATTGCAGCCCAGCTGCCAGGTCATGGCTTGATACAGCCAGGCCTGAGCTGTGAGCTCCTCACCCCCATCCAGATCCCCACGTGTGCTTCTGCAGAGCCAGGTGCCACCCCAGGACAGTGTGCCTGGGAATGGTGACAGTCCCTGGAGGGGCTGCTCCACAGGAGAGGGCAGCCAGCAGCTCAAGGACCTGCTCTGACCCGGGCAGCACGAGGGGTTTGATGCCAAAGTTCCACTGTGTGCCCTTGACCAGCAGTAGGAAAACAAGGCACACCTTAAATCTGACCTGCTTTTGGCCAGAGATGTTCCTCCTTCACCAAGCAAAACAGAAAGTTATTTCTTTAAAACCATGACATTCCCAAGGGCCTCCAGATCTAATTCACCTGGGCCCCAAGGGAAACCCTTTGTGAGAGGGGTGACCCCTTGAACTCCTGGTAGGACATATTTGCAGGAGGTGGCCCCCAAACAGGGTCAAAATCCCAGAGATACTCTGTTGTAACCCCACTTCTGAATTTTAGAAGCTTTAAAATCCCTCCTTGCCTTAAAGCCAGACATTTAAACCAGCCCTGCCAGAGCTCTGCCCCATCCCTACACTATTTCACCCTCTAATTGTCTCTGAATTTCTGCTTCCCACCATAAGCAAGCACCACCAGACCAGCCTCTGAGTTTGCTGCCTCTGTGCCCGTGACAGAAACGCAGAAAAAAGCAGGTATTTAAAGGCAGCCCGAGGTGTTGTTCCCTTCTCCCCGGTGCCTCCGCACGCCGGTGGGCAGCAGCTCGGCGGGAGCAGCGTGGCACGTAGGCTAGAGGAGGAGATTCCATTTGGGTCGTCTCTGGGTTGCATGGAGCTGCTAGACATCTGCTTCCTTTGGCTGCTCGTGGTGTTTTCGTGGTCAAGGTGAAATTGTGGATGCTTTCTGTGCAGTGAGAGGGGAGAGAGCCATGAGTTCAAGGGCAAGGCATGGGGTCTGCAGGCACTGGGAGCTGCCAAAGGGGCTAGAAGGAAGAGAAATCACTGAGTTACCCTTAGGAGGATGAATTAAGTGCTATTCTCCTTTGCTTTCTACAGTTGTGTTATTTCAAAGCCTTCCTTGAAGCCTGTCAACTTCTTCCTTGCCATTTGTTACTTTTTTTTTCCCCATGTTCAAAATAAGCAAAAAAAAACCCCACCATAAACCCCAAACTTTTCCATTTTAATTTTTTTTTTCCCTGCTTCAATTTTCCTCCCTCTGGTCCATGGCAGTCTCAGCAGTGCCAGTTCACCTCTGGGAACAAACAGGACCAGCTGGGTGGTCACAAACTCCAGCAGAAATTTGGCATGGACAGCCTGGCTTTGGGGAGGTCCTGCAGGAAAGGGATCCCTGAGAAGGACTTTTCCAGGCTGCTCCCCCACTCCTCCAGTGCTGTTTGCCCCAGTCGTTTTTGCTATGAAATGTGACTTCTTGGTTCAATTTATTCCAATTCCTCAGTGGGCCACCAAGAGCAGCAATTTCCATCAGAGCCGCTCATCGTTTCCCATTTTTATGAAGTGGGTCTGGGGCAAAATGTGTCTCTCTCCCCCTCCCAAAATGTAAAACTGTCCATTATGGCCCAGAGCTACAAAGGGAAAGGTTCTCAGGATAATGAGCATTAATAATTTT